CTCTTCTAGTCGGAGGATATGACAAGTGGTTCATATTTTCCTTTATTACTACTGATGTTTTTGGCTTTTTTCTTTTGCAGCTTTTCTTTTGGAACACTGATAACTGGGAAAAGATAAAATCAGTTGCACTTCAACTGCCAGCTGGAAAGGCCCCTCAGGGTGACACTCGAGTGCAATTTCACTCTGATCAAGTTCGCTTGTTAGTGTGCCATGAAATGCAACTTGCAGTATATGATGCAAACAAGATGGAATGCATTCGGCAGGTAAAAAACTACACCTTATGTAAAGAATTTAAATATGCTGTGAACAAATATTTTGATGTTCTTTTACATTGCAGTGGATGCCACAAGAAGTACTTTCTTCACCTTTATCTAGCGCAGCATATTCCTGCAATAGCCAACTAGTTTATGCTACTTTTACTGATGGTAATATTGGAGTATTTGACATTGATAGTTTGAAGCTTAGATGTCGTATTGCTCCATCTGCATATATCTCTCCGGTGTCTTCAAACAAGTAATGCAGGGGTTTTTTTTTTCTTACTCTAGTGATCAAATGTTTTATTCCTGTGATGCTTGAGGTCTTACTTTCGATTTCAATGTTCTGCTGTGACAGCCAAACTGTATACCCACTCGTTGTCACGACACACCCACAGGAAGCCAATCAGTTAGCTGTGGGTCTGACAGATGGCTCTGTTAAAGTTATAGAACCCTTGGAGGCAGAGAGGAAGTGGGGACTGCCTGTACCTGTCGATAACGGAATGGAAAATGGCAGGACGGCAACATCATCCACCACTAACACTTCTGAGCAGCAGCAGAGATGAAGATTAAGGTCCCTTCTACTTAGTATTTTGTAACTCATCCTTGTATAATTTGTAGTTTGTCCATTTGTTTGTGTCTAATTTTATGTGTTTGAGCATAGGCAAAAAAATGTCAGATCAAACGAACCAAGATAAAGTCAAGAATGTATATTGGACGCTCATCTTTCTGATAAATTTGAAATTCGACAAATGATCAGATACTTTCGAGTCCATGCAGTTCGGATTTCAAGTGCATTATAACTCTTTGCCTCTAGAATTCTGTTCTGCTGGTTCTGCTTTTAGGATTCTACTATTCTGGCACTGCTGCAATCTCCTTGTTCTCCTTTTTTTATTTTTTTCCGGGGGAATATAGTCACTTATTGAAGTAAAAAAGTAAGAGTTGAGAAAAGTCGTGTGGTTTATGGGATATGCACAGTGGCCCTTATAACGAGGTGATGAAGTTTTAGTTTGCTGCTTAGTCTCACAAATGAATGCCCTTTTTTTTAGTCAAAAACAGATATTTGGAAGAGTTAAAATGCAAGGAAATGGAAAGAGCAGGGCTGGTGAAAGATGATTTGGTGCAACTGGAATAATGAAAGGACATTTGCTACGAGAATCGGAATGTCATGAAGAATGAGAGCTGGATTAATGAGAGAGAAAAAGAACACTGGACTCTTGGAAAAAATTCACAGAAACAACAGCTGCACTTATAAAATCAAGTTTCAAAGAAGGGAAAGAATGACATTGAGCTTGGAGAGGGTCCAAAACCTAATTATATTGAAACACAATAGATTGTGTTTGAATAAGGCAAAAAGGTTTTTTCGCATTCCTTTGCAAAGGAACCTGCCACTTCCTCCCACTTGGAACTGAACCAAGAGAACATGTGGTAATGGTACAAAGGATCAAACTGCCACTAAGCAGATGCTAGTTCTGCACTTTGCTATTCTATTTTTGTGGTTCAAGAGTTGTATACTCTGCTTAGATCATGCTGATCGGTAGATTGGTTTGCTGCATTTCATTTTTACATTTATTTCTTGCACTTATCATTGCATTGCACTCCTTGACTTCCAAGTACCAAGTTTTGTTATTTTAAGCATGTCACATTCGTACAACACGGAAGTTCTCCAGCCAGGCAATTCTTCTCGGCACTTGTTCATCTATACTTTCAATTCCTTACTGTAAAATCTTGAGACTTGGTCTCCTTCCTCATTGGCTTTGCTATTTCATTGTTTTATCTTAAAACAGTCCCAAATTGATTCCATCTGGAAATCTGGACTCTGGAGCTGCTTCTGCAGTTCTCTCCTCCTTGCATTATATTTCTTGTATACAAAACAAGAAGTCAGCTATGTGGTGGAGAACTGGGAACATTGTCCTTCTCTTTTTTACTATAAGATGCTTCAGTTTTGTAGGGTCTTAAATCAGAAATAGCAAAGGAAAAATGATACAGACAAAAGCTCCTGTAGTGTTTTTATGTGTATTTTTTACCATTGGTCAGCTCAGCATAAATCTATCTATTCATAAAATTTTCTACTGTATGGGATTATGGTTCACCTAGTTACGGATCTTGTCGCTTTGGACTGATCTTGCTATTTGGAATGATCTGTGGTTCAGCTTCATCATTATTGTTGGTAGTATTTCAATATCAGATGAGCTCCCAACATGTCATGTTCTTGAGTGGGGGCAAGAATTCAGTCCATATCCAATCCATGATTCATATGAAAATTTTGTCAACAAAAATGAAATATGATCCAGACTGATTGGATTTTCTTCCAGCTAAGCTCTATGTGAGGTCCAGAATCGACTAACCCTGTATTTTATTAGCAAAAGAAGAGCTAATAACTATGCATTTAAGATCTTGAGGATCTTATATCATGCTCTTTCCGAGACCATGTCTTATTTTATTTTTAATATCTTTTAGTTTTATCAATGTAAATATCATGTAGGATCCGAGCATTTGATTTAACTGTTTGGTATATGATTTTTTTTTTCAAAAAACAAGATTCAAATCTCCTCTTCTCCATATCAAATATATAGGAAATCATTTGCTAGATTCTAGCCTAAATTACTCGAGTTATGTGATTCATGTGTATTTTTCTATGAAATTGTGGTAATTTCAGGAGGTTAAAAAGGGTGTAAAAATAGTGTCTATGAACAAATTTAAGGGTTTGAATCCTTAGCATCCATCAGCTCATGTCATTTTCCTTTACAGCTGTCTCAAATGAGCTTTGAGTTGTTCCAACTTCCAATAGGCTAAGAATTTTTGGTGTGTATAATGCTGCCTCTCATGTTAAGTAAGGGATCATGATCAGACAAAGAACGTTTTAACAGGATTTTTTTTCAAGACTTTTTTCCCTCTATTTGCTGTCCTAATTTCAATGGTCCTAATCTTTTTTTTTTTGACTTTTGAGATTGCTGCTTTCAAAACTCTCCTCAACCCCTTGTCCCTAAAGGACTTTTGGCTATTCACATTTTTTCCCATATTTCAATGGTCTTAATCTTTTTTTCCTTGACTTTTGAGATTGCTGCTTTCAAATCTCTCCTCAACCCCTTGTCCCTAAAGGAATTTTGGCTATTCACATTGTTTCCCATATTCTCTTACTCCTCTTGCCTTTTGGTGATCTACCAGCGGGAGGCTACAGCGATTTTGCTTTTAAAAAAATTTAACTGAAACATACATGAGAAGTAAGAAAAGTTGTCTGCGAAATTTTTATTATTGTTGTCATTATGATTGTTTTATAATGAGTTCAGATGAAACTTTAGGTAACAATTCAAAAAGTAATAGTATTAGTGAAGATTCAAGCTTTTAAAGTTGTCCAAATTCAGGCTGCGAAGTGGGGCAATGCCAAAAAAAGTGGTGCAAAGCAGAAGTATCCGAAGAAAGAACCATCAACTGACAACCCAAGACAAAAGCTAGCCCCCAAAAACAATGGTTCAGGGGCTAATTAAAAAAAACCCCACTTTACATTAGTTTCTCAGCTTCATGACTATAATAAATTTTTGATTCTGCTCTATGTGCCAAAAGGGGAAAATCCCTCATTCCATGCTGAGAACATCAATTCGACATTCTGATCATAAATGATGTGCCCAATCTGTCCGTTTCATTCAATAGCATTAAATTTTCACGGTTAGAAAGGATCAATGAAAGCTGTAGCATGACATCCAAGAACAGTTGGTCCACAACCGGACCCAAAATCACAGCATGCTGATGCCCAAATTGGAGTTTCAAGTTTTTTTTCTTTCTGTTGTGTTTGGTTAAGTTCTGTTGAGTGATTGATGCCAGGCTAGCATCTTCACCATGATTGAACATGGGTCCCATTTTCCGCTTCTCTGCCCTGTCAACCACATGCAGTCTCAATGCCCATGCACTCTCTCTCTCTCTCTTTTACTCTTACTCTATATTATACCCTTTTTCTATCTTACTATCTTACGTGTCAACCTCGGCTTTATCTCCCAACACACGGACAAAGCCCACCTCTTGCCTCAGCTACTGTCTGAAAACGAATCTCAAATCTACCAATCTATGTCACTTTATCACCCCCCACACCTTAGTCATGTTTCTCTCACGAATCAAACCTTAACAAATGTAAGCAAACAATTCTTATTTGTATTAGTGTGCGGTTCACAGAAATGGGGGAGTGCCGTTTCAAAATACATTTGTCGGCCAGAGACGTTATTAATCATATTTACTTAAGGAGTAATTACTGATTAGTCCAATTATATTTTTAGTTTTTAATTTACCTTAAATTTCGTATCTTATTAAATGTATTTTTTTTAGTTTTTAATCTTTTAAACTGCAAGAGTCAACTGATCTAATGGTCCCTTAGCAACCAATTTTTCTCTTTGTTACTGCTGATGTTCATATATGCATGAAAGAAGCTGTCACATTTTTCTTAACCGTGTAAGTTTTATTTTCTGTCCAAATAATAAAAAAAAAGTAATAAAATTTTGTGTCTTTTATATATAATTAATGCTCATAATTCACATGCTTACAGAAAAGCTCCCCTGTTTTTGCGGTGGTTCATTTCTTCTTCTTCTTCTTCAATTTTGTTTTCTTTTTTCATTTTTGCAGTTTGTTTCTTTGTAAGTGTTTGTGCATATCAGCTTTTCTTCTTCTTCTTCTTCACTACTTTGTTTCTCTGGTCAGCTGTTGCTGAGGCCTTTGACATATGAAGATGCCAGTAAGTACGTTTCTTTTAACTGGGGATTTGATTTTCTCTATTGGTTTCTGTTTTTTTTTTAACTGCCAAATCAAAAAGAATTGAAACTTTGATTTTATGGATTTCTTAAAAGTGTTTTTGATGAATAAAACTGACTACTTTTCTGGGATTTTTAGATTTTCTCATCATCAATATGGTGGCAATTCAACTTACATATATTTCTTCTTGATTTTCCCATATTCACTTTCCTTCTTCTTGTTTTATATTCTGTCACTTTGAGTTTGTGGAATTTTAGTTCATTTTACAGCTTTTTTTTTAGCAGACTTTTGGTTTCATTGGATTCGAAAACTTTCAACTTTTCCATCTTCCTTGCTTTTGGAGTTATAAAATCATTCTCTGACCTTGACATTTAAGACGTTTTATTAGTTTTTTCAATTTATGGTTACTTTAATGCTTGCTTAATTTTCTGGTAATTCCTTTATTTTAGTCAAATTATAGATTTGGTCATTTGCCTCCCTAATTAAATTGATTTGTTTTGGATTTTTAAAAATTATTTGCTACAATCACTCATCATTTGAATAATGATTCATTATATTTCTATAATATGTCCAAGGTTTATGTCTTTTCTTTTATTTTTTGGATTGAAGTTTATGTCTTTATTTTGTTTAGAAATGCTGGCCAGTGGTTTCCTCTTTTTGGCATTACTGCATTACAAGGCATAGCTATTTTTGCTGCTAGCATTTATATTCTTTTTGAGATGTTTGTACATAGTTTTGTACTCCCTATTACTTATCTGATTGATAGTTTCTCAAGCTTTAAGATAATAAGTGTTTGATTCTTTTTGTTCTTGTCTTGTATCCTTGATGTGAAATTCTTAATCTTTTTCCTTTGTTAATTGCATATTTCTCTGACTTTTCAAATTGTATATCTCCATTGGTGGATTTGCAAAGGTACAATTTTTTTCTTCTGAGTTTCAACTGGTTCCCTTTTTGTTTCTCCATTGTGCTGCAGGTGGCATTGCTCTTGCTGCTGGCATTGTGCAATGCAATCAAAGTTAATGGAGAAGAGAGCAATGGGCAGTGTTTTCATAAGCTAACATTGGACCCAAGACCACATAGTGTATCCATCTTGGAATTTGGTGCTGTTGGAGATGGCAAAACTTTGAATACCATTGCCTTTCAAAATGCCATTTTCTATCTTAAGTCTTTTGCTGACAAGGGTGGTGCCCAACTTTATGTGCCACCAGGAAGATGGCTCACTGAAAGTTTCAATCTTACCAGCCATCTCACCCTCTTCTTGGAAAAAGGTGCTGTCATTCTTGGATCTCAGGTATTTTTTTGCTCTATTTTTCTCTTTCTTTTAAGGTATGATTGTTCAACAGAAGCAATACGCTTTACTAGGAGCAATTTTGAACCCTGATTTCTTTTCACACTTACTTTTCTTGCTTGTTAAGGATCCATCTCACTGGGATATTGTTGAACCCTTACCCTCATATGGTCGAGGAATTGAACTTCCCGGAGGAAGATATCGAAGTTTGGTAAATGGTTATATGTTGCGCGATGTCATAATAACCGGTAGGATTACCTCTTAGCTTCATTTATGCTCATTCTTTCATTGTCTGTTTGTTACAATCCTGGTTGAGTCTCAGATAAACTCACACTTGCATGTTGCACTAGGTGATAATGGAACCATAGATGGGCAGGGCTCAGTTTGGTGGGAATGGTTTGCATCTCATTCTTTAAACTATAGCCGCCCTCATCTTGTGGAATTTGTGTCGTCCGAATATGTACTAGTTTCAAATATTACTTTACTTAATGCCCCTGCATATAACATTCATCCAGTGTATTGCAGGTTTGTTTTCAATATCTTTTTGAATGCTTTGCTCATTATTTAAACTTTTTTGTTTTTGATACGCAAACAAATGGAGAAAGTTAAATTTATATCTACATGGATTTTATGCAGCAATGTACACATTCATAACATATCAGTCTATGCTCCACCAGGATCACCATATACTGTTGGCATAGTCCCAGGTTTGTGATGGCTAATTAATATCTTAACTTTTTCATATTGAGAACCTAAGTTGTTGATGTTGCCTATTGTCAACATCCTTTTTCCTTTAGATATCGCCTATTGTCAGCATCTTTCATTATAGTTTAGTTGCCTTTACTTGCAAGTTAGAATACTTGCTTTTGGTTTTCATTTTTTTTGTTTTGTGCTTTTTCCGATGTTTTATCTTAAGAAAAACTTTAATTCCATTTTACTTACAGGAATCTGAAAACAATTTTTTTTTCTTTATTATGTGCTGTACAATTATTAGGAGATTGCCTCTGCAAGTTGTGTTAAATCTTGCTTTATTACATTATCTCTCTCGAAAACAACAGTAACTGTAGGAGTCATTTAGTTACGTTTTTCAGTCAAACGTATCATAAAAAGTTTCGGAACAAATTGTATGTTTAACTGTTACTAGCTGCATGGAAAATTAGTACTTTCTAGCAGCTAGTGAGTGGCCATATTCATATAACTGAGATTTGGATATACTAAATTTGCTGATGCTATAAAAAATATTAACCTTCAAAGCATTCATTTCAGCGTTGAATTCTATGTTTCAATGTGTTTAAAGATGTTTCTGCAGCAAAAATTTCTGAATCATTCTTAATTTTCTGCTTTTAGATTCTTCTGATAATGTTTGCATTGAGGACTGCAACATTAGCATGGGTCATGATGCGATTGCCCTCAAGAGTGGCTGGGATGAGTATGGCATTGCTTATGGCAGACCTACAACAAATGTCCACGTCAGAAGGGTCCACCTCCAGTCATCCTCAGGCTCTTCTCTTGCTTTTGGTAGTGAAATGTCCGGTGGCATTTCTAATGTCCAAGTGGAGCAGGTCCACCTCTACAACTCGTTAAGTGGTATCGAGTTTAGAACAGCAAGGGGTAGGGGTGGATATATCAAAGAGATCATTGTATCGGATGTTGACTTGCTAAACATGAACACTGCTTTTAGTGCCATTGGTGATTATGGATTCCATCCGGATGACAAATTTGATCCTCATGCTTTCCCAGTCCTGGAGAAAATCACCTTACAGAATATTGTTGGCACAAACATCACTGTGGCTGGAAACTTCACAGGAATCCAAGAATCTCCCTTTACTTCCATATGTCTATCCAATATCTCCTTATCAATCAATGCTGCCTCTTCCACTTCATGGGTATGTTCATACGTTTCTGGTTTTTCAGACTCAGTCTTCCCTGAACCATGTCCTGATCTTGAGAATTCAACTACTTCTTCATCATGCTTTTTTCTCCTGAAGCCTAATGGTAAAGCTGCTGTCTTATGACACCATCCCATCCTACTGAAAAAAACATATAAATTCTGAAATTTCTACCCTTTACCACCTCAAGAGTAGGTCAGATTCTTTCCAATAAGTTACATGTCTAGAATACCTGTTTCATCATCCCTTCCTCTTTGGCATTTTGGCATGTTGCAACCCTGCAGATTGTTTGTACAGCTTCATTTCTTCATTCTTGTGTAAGGAAAATTTTGGTAGTGGTGGTACAAAAGCACAAAAGGGTCTTGGGGGTATTTTCAGTATTGCTGTCTATTGAATTCTTTTCTTCTTATGTTTATAGTTTTGGTCAAATCTCATTGTAAAATCATATCATCATTTGGATTGAAAAATAGAATAAAACAAAGAGAGATGAATTGGAAAATTTTCCTGGAAAAAGAACAACAGTTTTCATTTGCATTGGATACCTTTGCTTAGAGCAGACAAAGACAAAAATGAATAGCTGTCTTGTCTATAAAAGAGTTGTTGGCCTAAAAATTCAATCTTATAAGTTGGAATTTCAAGTCACTCCAAGAATATATAACAAATCTGTTCATTACAAAAGAATAAATCTGTCTATACTTTTAGAAAAATGTATTACATTCTCAAACTGACTGTCCCTTTGCATCATCCTGATCTTGAAGGGGGCTATCGTTATTCCTTTTGTCTCATTATAAATAAAATCAACTTTATTTCTGATCAATTATACCTTGACTTAATCAATGAAAATATAAAAATAATAATTTTTTATACATTGTCCATAGAGTATTAAAACTACAATGTTAAAATATTGTTATATGTCTCATTATATTTTATAAATATATCTTAAATTGTCATCTTTGGGTAGATTAGTTTTTTTTTTTTTTATAAAGAATCACAATATTAAAATAAAAAAATAAATTTTAAATATTAAGATTTAAAATTTAAATTTATTAAATATTACTTCTTAAAAATGATGATATGAATTAATTGAATTAAATATTGATTCAATCTTGAAAAATTTTTTAAATTCAAACTATTATAGATGAGATAGTGTTTTTTTTTTTAACAAAATCATTGAAAAAAAAAATTGTGAGATTTGGGTTGTTATTGGGTTACAAAATAAATGGGTCAAGCCCAATTTTAGGGGACTTTTGACCCAACCCATATCATTTGAAATTGAAGAAAAGCCCAGGCTTATTACCACCGGCATCTTTCTTTCTCTGTTATTCCACCGGCAGCGACCGGCGGCTTCCATTTTTTTCTCAAGTGCTCCTTCTCTCTTTGCCCTTTGCCGTTTCTAGCGCTTCACTTGCCATCTCTTATCGGGTAAGTCCCAACTTTGCTTGTCTTCTTAGCAAAAATGGTCCTTTAAGCTTAACAGAACAAAACTAAGCTCTTTGCTCTGAGCGCTTAAAGCTTCCTTTAAACAACCAAGTTTCTATGTTTCTTCTGAGCTAATACCATTTATTTTGTCTACCTTTTTTTAAGCTTATCATTCACTACAACTATACGAAACTCTTACTGGAAACTTAGCTTGAAAAAGCACCACTTTTTGTATTATGTTGGATTGTTTTGGAATGGTTTAACTAAGGGAAAATAATCTGAATTTTGATCAATGAATTGGTTTTATTCAGTTAATTTCTTATCTGGGTTTTCCTTATCCTTCTCTCCTGCTATGTCTTGAACTAAAGCTTTGTGATTCTGGGGTTTCTCTCTTTTGAGCTTGGAATTCGAAAACTTGTACTTTTGCTTATTCTAATGTAGTTTGCCTTTTGCTATTTCAGGTTATGGGATCGCCGAATGTTAGAGATATCTTGAAAGCGTATAGTCCTTCTTTGGACTCCTTTTCTATTAGTTGGAGATGGTCGTATCAAGGTAGCTAAAATCATTCCAAGTTTGTAATTGTTTAATGACAATTTCGAGAAAAATTGGTTGCATTTTATGTTTCAATGTGAATAATAATGCTGTTTTTTTTTTTTTTAATTATTTTTATGTCTTGTTAGATTTGGGACACTTTGAAGGGTCAAATTCAAACTGAATTTGCTGACATTTTATCAAGTGAGGCAACAAACATATATGCTACGGCAGAAAGAGGGCATCTTTCGATTGATTACAAATGTATCAAGTGGGTTTCTTTTGACAAAAAGGTCTGTCTTTTAATATAATAATAAAATGCTTTTGCAGAATTTAAATGAGTGGAATTTTCTTCTATGACGAAGTAACTTTTGGACAAAAAATTTAAATTAGTTGCTTAAAGTGCCAAAGGAAATTTCTTATTGTTGGTAGCTTACCCTTGTAGGTGGTTCAGCATATGTTATTGAGTGAATAATTGTATTTATGATGATTCATGAGGTCTCTTTTCTTTTGCGGCAATACTAGATCTAGAGGGTTGGCTATTCAGTCTTTGCTACAATTATCTGGGTGACTACAGCTAATAACAGCGCAGGTTGGTAAACTTAATGTCTTGACTTTGATTAAATATTTGCTGTCTGTATTTGATTGCATTGCTGATTTTCTGAAAACAGATTGACAAGGCAGCTCAGAATAAAAGTTGAGTCTCTGCAAGTGACCAGCGAATGGATCAAAGTGAAGATGAAGATGTTGACAATGTAGATGAAGTTATTTACAGGGAAGAAGATGAATACCAAATAAGTAGCGATGATGATAATTAACTGCCTTTCATGGCAAGAGGTAACAGTAATCTATGTTTTGTTACTAATTATGGGATAATTTGTAGGTTGTTCACTGAATTAATTGTTGAAGATGTTAATATGAATTTCAAGTCACTTTTATCCTTTTGTTATTTAAGGATTCTCTTATCTTGAGTAGAATTACTGACTTTAGGTTGTTAATAGCTTTATATGGCACAAAGCTGTTGATAAGAAACCGCTTTATTCTGTAGTTGAAAATTTATTGCATGTAATAGGAAAACTCTTGTTGTAATTTGCGTTATTGATACTTTGTAGTCTTAGGGTAGTTTGGTAGATGGCATTATGTTTTGCTGCCTCATTTAATTGTTTCATTACATAAATATATACTTTTTAGGGCTGCTTATTGTTTTCTATTGTGTGTCACAGATCCAAAGTTGCAGAGTAGTGTTAGCTTTGAAGTGGATTTAAAACAAAGGGGGCATAGTCTTAAGGTGTGTGGGACTGCTGGCCTTCAGCATTCAACTTTCTATCACTCTGTTTTAGTTATTTTGTGGAGCTGCTAATATGGTTACTCTGAGAGTCAAGTTTCCATGGTCCAGCTGTGGCAAGTATCTAATCCAGCCATAGTTGTCCACAATTTTGTGCTGCCCTTTTTTCCTTGTTTTTATTCATCCTGTTCTTTGATCCTTGGAAATATAGTTTAGTACTAGTATTATTCATAAGCCTCTGATTGTTTCTGGGTACAAATTAATTTGTTCTAGCATCAAAAATTTGTTTTCTTTTATGAGTTTTAGCATCCTCACTGACTTACAGCTTTATGTGAATAGGAGTATACTATTGTTGTAATTCTTAGCCAAAATAAATTTTCTATTTGTTTTATTTATAAAAGTAAAACAATCTTTTAATAAACTGCTTGCTAAGGCTTTAAGTCAGTTTGGAGCCCTAAAATTTCCCAATTCATTCAAGTAAATTGATTGATTGAATTTGTCAGTTGGAAATGACAGCCCTAAACTTTATTAATTCGAATGATTTTTGTAGAGATATCCCTCAAATTTTGATTAGAGGCAAAATTAGTTTTTAAAAATCTTGATTCTGTTGAAATCATTAAAAATTTTATGGTTTTGATTCATCAGTTTCTCCTACCCTTTTATTTATGAACAATCAATTTTAAATGATTTTAAGTTTAAACTCCTTATATGTATTAATGTTCAAATGGCTTATTTAGAGTATTTATTTTTTTGGGTCCAAGAATGCATAAACTAGACCAGTGGGTGAGAGTTGTGAGCCAAACCATCTAGTTTTCATGGAAAGAGAGTTGAGAAACAATATCAATACCCTGGCAAAATTGGATGGTTGGTTGGGTGTCTGAGAAATTTGATTATAGAATTAGAATATAACAATATCTTTAGCACATTCATTTTACAAGAAATGTCTACCTTGATAGCATATAAAACCTCTCTCAAAAGTGGATTGCAGAATTGATTCTTCCAGCACTTACAAGCATAGAATCTATTCCTCTCCCTAACATTTGCTTTTTTTTTTTGTTTTTTTGTACATGCTCTTAGGAAAAACATTGCCGCCTCAAGATTCTATAGTTCTTCATAATTTATTCTTTACTGACTTTCTCCCTCCTGGAGGCAAAAGAAAGAGTCCCTTTTGATCATATTTCCCTTGCTAAACTATCTACATTATTCTACAAGCGTTGGGATTTTCATCACTAAATATTGATGTAATATTTCCGTTGCTGCTACTGCTGCTGCTGCTGCCACTGCTGTAATTGTTGTGATAATCTTCGTTGTAGTGATCAATCCTACTGTAATGCATGTACCGTGGTGGTGAATGAACATATTCATATTCTGTTACATATGGTGAGCGCTTGTATGTGTTGTAGCTATGAGTTACAAAGGCAGGTTGAGGTGGTTCATGGTGGAAAACTTGGCTATTGGGGTGTCGGCTTAGTGGTTCAGGATAGAAATTGCTGCTGCTGCCACTGCTGTAATTGTTGTGATAGTCTTCATTGTAGTGATCAATCCTACTGTAATGCGTGAACCGTGGTGGTGAATGAACATATTCATATTCTGTTACATATGGTGGTGGCTTGTATGTGTTATAGCTGTGAGTTGCGAAGGCAGGTTGAGGTGGTTCATGGTGGAAAATTTGGCTATTAGGGTGTCTGCTTAGTGGTTCAGGATAGAAATTGCCTTGGCTATTGGGGTACCGTCTGCTCCAGGGCCCTCCATAGCTGTGAACGTAGCCATATCTCTGTCCATGATCAGGTGGATGGTGGCATATTTCATGAACTTCTCCGACATCTTTTGGTCCAGAAGGTTGTGATGGTTGCTGGTTGGCATTGGCGTCAGTAGCAGCAGGTGTTGGTGCTGGCTTTGATTGTGGTTTCTCTGGTGGTGGTTGATCTTTTGGTGGCTCTGCAGGTGGGGCTACTTCAGGTTGTGATTGAGGTTGTGGCTCAGCTTCAGCTGGGGGAGCTTCAGATGGAGGAGGATTTGCTGCCTCTGGACGTGCTGAACCACCTTCAGGCGGTTGTTCCGTTGGCTGTGCAGCAGCTTCTGTTGGTTCTGAATGGGAACAGATTGTTGCAATCTTCCTAGTTTTTCTAATTGCTTTAACTATTCTTTCTGGATCCGCCCAGCCTATTATCGTCAATTTCTGTTGAGCAATATCAAGATAAACTTCATATATACCTGTAGAGAATATGAATTAACTCAAAAATAGGATTCAAGCAATGGCTAGAAAACTGGACGAAACAGAATGTATGCTACCCTTAACTACTTTATTGCATACCGTGAATGCCATGTAACGCCTTCTTGATCTTCTGTACACAGCCATTGCAGTCCATTCGGACATTTATCTCTGTGACTCGAGGTTTCTGCATATATTTGATGAGAAAAAAAGATGGTTAGTTCGGTCTTCGGATTGTTGAAATGTAGTTGATGTTGTATTGATGCATCATGCATGTGTACTATCAAAATCTTACCTCTAAATCCGGTACCATGAGGCCTAGAAGGATAGGGAAATGGAGAAACCAGGAGTAGATTATGCTCTGTATGATGAGATGGAAATGGTGGAGAGTATGAAGGAAGCATGAATAGGTCAATTTTATTTGTACACGAGTAATAAGGAATATTTGATAGGCAAAAGATGTGGGGCAGGGCATGCAAGGAATCTCTCTTTCTGGGTGAGAGGGAGAGGCAGTCTTTGCTGCTAAGCTAGAGGCTTCAAAGGGTTATTAAGGGATGTGGTTTTTTTTATGTGACCTCGAAAAAAAGGTTGAGTCAAAAGGAATTTGCTTTAGCTTGGATGACCATCAAGACTTCCATAATTGAGGTATGTACGTGCGATGCCAGTTAGGATATCCAAAACCGACCATAGAAAAGAATTAAAGTGTGTGAACAGATGATAGAGCTAGCTAGATCATTTTGCCAATTCATGGTTTCATTAGTCAAAACTATCAAAGTAGCTTTTTTAGGTGCATGGATATTCACTCTCAAGGAATCCTTCTGTCACAAGTAAAATATCGCTACGTATAGCAGATAAAATGACAGGAAATTGTTTAATAGAAGCCTTGCCTTCCATTTTTGTCATAAAGGCTGATGGAGATTGAAAGCCAAATTCCTCACTAGGGTTGCCCCAAGAGCTCTAGCTGATAAAGTTTATTTGATGACAAACAATAAATCCACACTTTTAGAGTACTATTTTTGTTAGGTTTCTCAAATGACTAGAGGGGATTAAATTGAAGAGCCTTAACGTGTTTTCGATAATAGAATTAGGATATTTTAAGTTTTGCATACATAGAAAAGTAAATTTCGATATACAAGATTCTTTGTTTTATGAGAGTTGAGGTAAAGATTTTTTGTACGTATTCTTTTTTTTTTTTTTTATATTTTTATAAAAAATTTATTTTTAAAATTCAAATTCGTGATGTTTTTGAATGTCTAATTTTTAATTTTTTTAAAGATAATTTTAATATTGTACAAAATAATGTATTTAGTATAGGAGATGTAAGATTATGTCTCTTATAGGAAATGGATTGAGTTATATTACAAGCAAAGTGCTTTTGCAGTTTTTCAAGATTTCAAGATGTCAAGAAATCATTTTCCGTTGGTAATTATAAGTTGTCTTTCAACAGGAGAATCAAGCATAGAATTGCTTGATGCTCTGGGATATTGACCCCGGCCAGTATTTGAGGACTTTTCAACATATTCCAATTTAAGATGGACCAATTTTTTACTATTTCTTGGGCTGCCAGTACCTGCCAAATGTCTGCTTCAAACTTGTTGCTAACTCATCTTAACAAGCTCTAATCTTACAGGTCAGCAAGTGTCATCCTTCGTGGACAACTGGAGTACTCCTAGAAGCAAGTCAAATTTAGAATCAAATTAATCAGACAACACCCATATGTTTCTTTTCTCGAGGACGATCATTTCATAGTACTTTTGTGAATTGAGATGTGATAACCATCATGTGGACAGAGTGCTTTAGAGACCAACCAGAGAAGCAAATATGCTTGCTACAGTAAACAAGCTCTACTGGCATAACTGAAGAGATGCCACCGGTAGCAACTCCCTCTCTCATATGGGGTTTTGAGGTCGTTTTGGGAAATCAGTAAATCATTCTGTCAACACATCCAAGGAGAGAGTAAAAGAAAAATAAATAGGGAGGAAAGAGGGGAGAAGATGCAGCTTGATCATTTCCCACGATGCAGAATTCAAACCGTTATAGTTTTCAGGTTTCAACTCCAATCGAAACCAAGAGTATTGTTGTAAATAAATCGAATATGATCGAACGAAAATATATCTATGATCCAAGACAAATTACAGGCTTTGAAGCTTGGGATACCAAAATTTTTACCTATCAAAATAGTCATTTTTAGTTCTGGATATCACCAAGGGGATGAAAAACATGTATGATATCATATGCTTATGTTTGATCAGTTTTGCTGATAATGAAGAACTCAGACAATCATATTGAAACTTAGATTGTTGAACTATATATCATATCCCCACCAAAATATTTGCCTTGGATAGTTTGATTAAAGTCATTTATTGAAAAAATTACATATCTTTAAGTATAGGCATGAGGATGTGCCATAAGGTATGCTTCTATAACTTCATACATGCCAATAGCTCTATCCTTTCCAAGCTCAATATCTTCTTGTTTTATCTCTATACCTTCTTTAGCTTTGTATTCACTTGTCATCTTACAGATGCAGCCTCCATAACCATATGCTTCAAATTTGACCTCATAGCTGATAAACTCAAGTTTGTCTGTCAACGCATCGCCTTCAATCAAAGTATATTTGCACATGAATTTCTCCTTGTCAAGCTCATCGATCCGATGTTTCACATATTTAAAAGGGCTAGCTGCAACACAATCAGAACCAAAGATTTAATCTTCGTTATTTATGAAGGAATAAACTTAACATGACAAAAGATGAACAATTGGGCACTGACCTTCAGTGAAGTTGATCTGTTTGATGCTACCAACATCTCCATCCCCTTCAATGAACTCAATACTTTTGATGGATGAAAACATGAGCTTCGGGCCGAGGTTATGAGAGTCAAGGATCAAGGCCTTGAACATCCTGGCAGGAGTCACTTGGCTTCTGAATGTTTGATTGATCTTAATAATACCCATGTTTTCTTTTTTCTGCTAACAACTTGCAAAATCAAGAGATGTGCTATAGATCATAAAATTGTGAAGATGGGAAAATGAACTAAGGTTTTAATGTGAAAATATCTTCTCAAGATGGGAAAGTGAAGCTTATTTGAACAGTTGGTCAATAAAAAAATTGTGGCTGGTTTGGCACGAAGCTTTTGAAGTCTATATTCAAAGTATTAAATGTTGATTTGTTCAACACATGAGGGCTGTAGTCCATTATTAATACTGTAACACATTAATTTCATATTGAGAAATTGTGAACATTTATTACGTGAAAACTTGCATTTAATACGTGAAATATATTTTTTTTAATTAAAAAATTTTACGATTTTATTTTATGAAAAATATCTCATAGATTTGAATTTAAATTTTATATATATATTATATTATTTTACATATTTTTTTAATATGAGATTAAGAGTATTATATGTAATGATATATATATATCTATAAATTTAAATTTAAAATTGTGATGCATGTTTTATAAGACAAAACTGTATAAATTTTTTTTAGATTAGCCTACAAAATCCTTTATCTATTTCCCAGTTGATGATAGAAGCAAATCAATATTATACTAATCCTTGAAAAAATTAATGATATACACAATATTATTCAAGTTATTATTATTTTTGGATTAAATTTCATTCGTGTTCTCTAACTTTATTTTATTTTACTTTAGTCTTTAACCTTTGAAAATGTTCACTTGCATTTTTAACCTTTTAAAATAGTTCTATTTTGATTTTTTGTAAAGGTGTTCATGATTTGAAAAGAGATGGATTTTGACATGCTTAAGCATGATATTAACATTATACATGTTTGTTTAAGCTTAACTGACTTAATAATTTATGCTTACATTTTATTCAATCTCATTTAGATTTTTAAATGATACAATTCAGGTCAGTCTAAATTATTATTATTTTTTAAATTAAAAAAATAAAAACATATTATTTGTTATTTTATCTTTAATAATTTCACTTTTTCTTTTAAGTTTTAAAAGATGAATAACTTTAACATAATTTTTAATGTTTACATTGTAATGTTATATATTTTTATCCTTTATATGATATAAATTATATAATATATATAAATATAAAATAAAATATAAGATTATATAATTGAAAAAGTGATTTGAATTAGGTCAAATTTGAGCCTTAGATGTTGAAGCTAATTAGGCTTGGTCCATTTCTTAAATGGATTTATTTTTTTTTTTAGAATTCATTTTTTGACCTTAATATTTTTACTCAAATCATCTTAAATATCAAAGACTTTCTAATTTAGATAGATTATTCTACCCTGGACATGTCTAATCTTTATTCCATGTTTTAGTAAGCTTACATGACATGTCATGTGGATATCACCTTGGCATGTCATATGGACAGTTTTCTCAATTATTAATGAAAAATATGACAAAATAATCAAAATGAAACCATTTTAAAATATTGAAAATCCAAATGGTATAATTAAGTAATTAGAGATGGAAATGGAGGCAAAAATAAAATTTAAAGATCATGGATGGAAGTAATTTTTTTCCTTGCATAATATTCTTAATTTTATCACATTCAAACAAGATGGGCAACAATATATGTGTCCTTGTACATTGAAGGAAGAAAACAATACAACTAAACCCACACCAAGAATTGTGTTGGGTTTCAAATTTTATTAATTAAGGCAACTATAGCCAGACCCAAGCTAAAAGCTAGAGTAGAGTAACACAGCAACCATTGAAGACCCCATGAGCATAACACACATAAATATCAGAGTTCAATTAAGCATAAGCATCAGGGTTCTGAATGAGATAGCCTTCCACAATTTTGTACATAGCCAAGGCTTTTTCCTTGCCAGCCTTGATTTCCTCTTCAGTAAGCACAAAATCACCCTTGGTGTAGTAAGTGCTTGTCATCTTGTTTTTGCTACCACCATCTGCTGTTGGCTCAAACTTAGCCTCGTACGTAATTTTATCCAGCTTATCCATTAATCCATCTCCTTCAATCAAACTGTATTTGTATGAAAAATTCTTTTCATCGAGCTCATCGATCCGGTTCCTCATGCACTTAACTTGGCTACCTGCATAATATATATGTTAATCAGGATTGAAACTAAAAATTTAGCATTCTATCAAACGTTTCAATCCGATAATTAATGGATTTTTATATAAAAGTATTGTTAGCACTAGGAATTCTATAGACAAATATGGACAGTGTGTATAATTGTAGCTTATTTCACCTTCAGCAAAGTTGATCTGCCTGATGCTTCCAGCTCCTCCATCACCTTCAGTAATTTCAATGCTCTTAACGGCCAATGGCATGAGTTTGGGGATGAGATTGTGAGAATCAACAATCAAGGCTTTGAATAGCCTGGCTGGAGGGATTGGGGAAGTGAACTCATCACTGTAAGTGGTGACACCCATTGGATATATCAGCAAAAAGGAGATGGCTAAGCTCTATTTGGGGTTTTCTGAAAACTTGTAGAGGTGATTGCCATTAGTTCAAGCAGGATGAATTTATAGATTCAAGTTCAAAGATATATTATCCCAGAAATTGTTTCTTTATACGTCATTTTCAAGGTTGAGTTTCCAAAGACATGAGATTGTGAGTGAACTAAAACACCAGGAAATTATGTTAGTACAAATGCATAGAACAAAATTATGGATCTATTTTGATGACCAAAATCAACCACTAGAGAGTCAGAAAGTAGCCCCATGTCTTTATTAATAACTGAATATATTCATTTGCTACAAATGCCAATTACTAAGTTGTAGAATCAAAGATCCAAAACATTTTGTACTAACGACAAATGCAAGAATCTTTACAACATAATTAATAAGATCACTAAATTAATAGGTTTCCCATAATTTTTTGAATTCTTTGAGAATAAAAAAATCAAACAATTAAACCAAATGCTCGAGTACAACACTTCGATAATTTCTATGGAAATTGTTTTATTTATTTGTTTCTGTTTTAGTAGAAAATTTTATGCAAGATTAAGACAAGACACAGTATGCTTAGTAACAGACTAACAGGACCTTTTTTTATTCTATGTATTGGAACATTCCTGTTGAAATTCCTGGGAGATTGAATTGGCAATTATGTCTTATAGCTAGAGCATATACCAATCCATAGGAATCTGATTATTTTGCCATTATTTTTTGGCAGTACTTTATCCTCTTCAATCAACCATCTCATGGATGGCAAGTTCCCTGATTCTTTCAATCAATGGCATCTATATTTAGCCTATTGGATTCAACTTAATAATTTTTAAGCCAGTGCCTAGTTGAATATCATAATAGACGGCAATAATCTGCCATTCTAATGTCCTGTTTCATTTGGCAATGAAAGAAAGCCATTCTTTTCCCAGAATAATGTTTTATAAAAAAATCTTATTAAATCATGGGAAACAACTAGTTCTCATAATGCACAAACAAATAGTATAATTGTATATTCTTACAATAGAAACAGTTCTCAAACTTATGCAAAACATCATTTGAATTTTTAAGGTAACACACTGAAACCGCCCAAAACCATCTAGAAGACTTTGCTTTTGAAGTTTAATTTTATGGTTCATGTGAAACTATTCTCCATATTATGACTGTTCACCAGGCAACTAAATATCTCCAAGAATTGGAAAAAGAAAAGAAAAAAGAAAAGAGCCGCTGGATCCAACTCTACATTGCTGCTGCAGTCAACACAGGATCCCTATTTCAAACACAAGAACAAGGTGGCATTTGCCCAAACGAATCACATAAAGTCGTATTCATTCAAATCATCATAAGCATTAACAACCATGTCATCATCTGGTTTATCAACATGGAGCTGTTTTTTCTTGCCACCTGAAAAAAAAAAAGTCAAAAAACAGTTACTGAATTGCAGTATTCAAAGTTGATTACGAGTATAACATGAAATTAAGAAGCTATTTAATCAGAACAGGTTGGTAAAAAATAAAGAGTTGAGTTAGTCAAACACATAGCTTGTCTATATTGGAAAACTAAGTGGCGCTCCAACAGATAGCCTGTATTGGGAGGAGTTATTTATAACTAAGAGTCTAAGACCTTTGCAAAAGGAGGCATCATAGGACATTTGGAAAGGGCCACATGAACTCTAGGCTTGGGGTTAAATTTAATGGTTACTTCAGTGTGGGTTTGGCCGAAGTGTGGTAAATGACCATTTTTTTTTTTTGGCCAATGGTAAATGACCATTTAGAGTATGAAAGATTGGCTGACCAGCAAGCTGTATATATGAAACAGCAGTGGAAATAAAAGAAAAGATAAGGATTTATATGCCTCTTAATCATCTTATTTGTCCATAACTTTTTCATATCTAAAACCCACAGTAAACCAAATTTAGGGTTAAATTTAATGGTCACTTCATTTTGGGTTTGGCCAAAGTGCGATAAATGACCATTTAGAGTATGAAAGATTGGCTGACCAGCATCTGAAACAGCAGTGGAAATAAAAGAAAAGACAAAGATCCGCATGCCTATTATCTAATGTCCAAAACTGTTTCAGATCTAAAACCCACAGTAAACCAACCATCATAGGTCAACCCCAACCTGTCGAGTTGGACAAAGCAAGCCTAACTGCCTAAGCCTAAGGATTTCAAAGAACAAAGACTTATAGGCTTTTGCACCTACAACTTTCTAGACAGACTTTGTTGCCTGAAGGGGGTAATTGCCATCATGTGGAGGACCTTTAACAACATACGAAATTTCCCTACTTTGAAATTATGTAAGGGAGCACGTTTACCTACTGTATAAGCATAATGCTCAATTACATATGTAAGTAATTCTGCTTAATTATAGTCAATATGCTCTTCCTTTAAAAATAGAGTGGATGTCATTTTTCTTCCCACGATAGATTTAAAATTCTCAATTAAGTGGAAAATTGAACCACCAAGTGTTTCTATTTTCTTTTCTGACTAAGGTGTATATATATATAACATGGGACACAAGGATAAAAAAGGGAGCTGCAGATATTTTACCTGTCTTCTTTTTACTTGTGGCTTCTTTCTCTGCTTTTAGCTTTTCATTTGCAATTGCTGTGATTGAAGATGCAATATCTTTCGCATCAGCTGCTTTCAAAGAAGTCATTGATAATCTCATCACATCCTTGAGTAGAGTAATATAATGGTAACTTTTCTGCATCAAAGGATGTATTCAGGCAATGTAAGAACTTTCTTGATATATAGCCAAGACAGGGAAGAAAAAAATAACAAACTCACCTCATATGGCCGAAGCTTATGAGAAATAAGCTCAGCATATTCTGCAAAGTCACTTTCAGATTTCGGAATAAAATTATCAAGAGTCTTGTCATCACCTTTCTTGGCAAAAAGTTCAGTAGTGGACCTGTAATCAGCTTCTTCCACAAGCCTATGATAGAAAGCAAATGCCAGAATAACAAATCAATTTTGCAGACATATACAAGTAAAATATAGTGCCATAACAATTCTGAGATCCAAGCATGTGGATAGGCAGAGAAAAATAATATGGCTTCAGTTAATTTAGAAAATGAACTACAAAGAAGTAGTTCCAAACTTAGGTGAGCTAAGTTAAGCTCTAGCAATTTATTATGCATTAACTCCCACTGTAAATGAACAAGGAAGTTTCTTAGTGTCATCACTGTAGAAGCTAAAAAATACTAAATTTCTACCTTTGTCGGTGAAGTTTCTCGGCCACAGGATCAAGGGGCTCTTCTTTAGCTACTTCAATAGTTTTCGCTTTCTTTTCAGTGGCTTTTGATGCAGCTTTCTTGGGGGCCTTCTCTTCAGGAGCTTTCGCTACAGGTTGCTGATACCAATCAAGGAAACAACACATCAACACAAGCACACAGTTTTACTCTTTATCAGATATTCAACACAAATAACTTGCCTACAACAACTTTCTTTGCATAGAATGTCCATAGAAAACAACTTAGATATGAAATAAGTAATTTTTGCAGATGACTTCATAACAACAGAGCTTCCACGAAAACAGTATAGTACTGTCTACTTTCAAGTTAAACTGCTCTTACTTTTCTCTGTTGGTTTATTCAGTAGGAAAGGCAATTAACCATGTTACAAGAGATACTCTAATTAGTCTCCAAGCAATTGTTATGCCAGTAGTAAAAAGAAATACAAGTTTAGATGAAAATACTGCTCTACTAAACACTCTATCCACTAAGAATTGAGGCCAGGTTTCTGTCTTCCAAGTACCATCATTCTAAATCATCAATCAGATTGCGTAACTAATGCAGCAGGATGGTAACAAACCATGAGAAGAAATTCTTATGACATAGAGAATGATGTTCATCTTAATAAAGTTTGCAAAACCAAATCCAAGTTATAACTTTGTTTGGTAATTCAAGGTTAGATACTACTATTCATACATCCAATAATCACCTGGGATGCATGTATCAATATCAAATCAGGATATTACTTGTAATCCAAAAGAGCTAATAACTTTCAAAAGTACACTTGAAAACCCATACGCTAACACACAACACTTGTAACCAGATCTTCAGCCTATGTTTAGGTAGTATTAATTTGTTACTAAGATTAACATTTAGCACAGATTTTACGGTATAGATTTTTAAAGGCAGCATAAACATTAATAGACACTAAAGAGCCCTGACATTAAAATATTACTCATAAACAGAACAAATACCAAATTATAACGAAATCATTATACCTGGGGGGTTTCATCTTCATCCTCCCATGATTCCTTGACATCAGAATCATCAACATCTTCATCATCCCATTTGCTTTTAGGTTGCTCCTTTGTAATGAGTGGTGGAATCTCATCCTCTGCAACAATAGCATACGACTTCATGATAAAAAGAAAGGACAAGAAAATGAAAAGAGGACATGCAACGGATCAACATAAAGAAAAGAACATAATGTCATAGGTTCTTCAATTAAGATCGAAAATTACTATAACAAACCATAGATTTAGTACTTATTAACAACTTAAAAGCAGATGAAAGATAAATTGAATTGAAGCCGCTTTAAGGAAATGTGGGCATCATTACACTTAAAACCTCCTAGACAAGACTATGGGGCTACCATCAGGCAATGGCTTGAGCTCAATTTTAGCACAAACACTAGAACGTCCCTGCAATTGAATTACTAATCCCACCACAAGGAGTTTTTTAAAAAAATAAAAAAGAAAAGCCACTAAAATTCTCCATAATCTAATCCATTCCACCTGGCAACACCATAATTTGATTCCCAATAAACCCAACTTAAAGCAGTCAGCTTTTGAAACACCTAAACCCCATAAAAACGAAAGCAAAAACAAAGAAAAACCCTAACTTTGAATCAAGCCAATTATTTTTAAGCTCTTATCAAAAGAAGGCTTCCACAAGCAAGTTCATACATAATAAAACAGAAAAAAAGGAAATTTGACTATTACTTATCAATCAAAGCCATACTAAAACAACAAATAAGTTATCAAATTTGGGCAAAAAATAAAATTACCCCAGTCCTCCATCTACTCTTCACTTATCGAAATTCCACGAATTGAAGAACAATCCTAAATACCACAAAATTAAAAACAAAACAAAAAATTTATTCCTTTATATAAAAAAAAGTTAGAGAAGAAGAGAAAAATTAACAAGAAACCCACGAAGAAATTACTTGACTTGAAAAAAGAAAAAATCTTATTGTTGTGGGGGCTGTTGAGTAAATCCGGATTGCTTTTTCTTTTTTTTTTTCCTCAGTTCAGACGCAAAAGCACTAACTTTCAAGGAAGATGAAATATTTAGGGTTTATATATATATATATTGTTTAATTTTAATTTCACGTCGTTCCTTTTATTAACGTAAATTTACTTAAATACCCTAACTTTAGATTCTTTACTAATATCATTTTTTTTTCTAATTCTTCTATTTTTTTGAAAAATTGCATTTCCTCCATCCCCGTTTGATATGTATTAATTTTTATGGGGTTTAAAAT